TTTCACTTCTAATTCTTTCTTATTTGCGCTATCCTTAGGCTTCTCCATTTTCTCCTTATGTATCGCTGGAATAGGCACTTTATAAGCCATAGTTGTTTTTGTGATTTCCTCACCTTTCGGCAAGATACCTTTGTGCCCGCCGATCTTCGTAGCATTGATTATATTCTTTACATTTGACGCCCAATTGTGAGAATCGACGACCATATTCGCACGAATATTCGGTACGGTGTTCAGCGTGACTTTCTGCACAGTGTTAATTAGAGCATGATTGCATATTGAGACGACGGAATTCTGGACACGATTTGCCAAGGGTTGCATCACAATCATCTGACTCTGTTGGGTGTTACCGAGGATTATCGGATTTGTCGATGCCTGCTGCGTATTCACGATGATGTTTGATGTCATCGGAGTTACGAGGGGCATCAGTTTTCCACCAGATAAAATGAGAGCATTAGGAGTTAAATTGGTGACGGTATTGGCCACAGATGGCAATGTCGAATTTTTTTCATCCTTGCGTTTGCGTTTCTTCTTCAATGACTTTTGAGATTCGACTTTTTTGTCCTCTGAAAACAACAGATTTACATTAATAATGTCAAATACATACATTAATATAAAAAAATAATATAAAAAACGATATATTAATATTAAAAAAATGTGTTAATTATTTTACCGGTCTTCTTTTTCTTAGTGGTTGTCGCATCCGCAGTTGCTTCATTAGCAGAATCTAAATTAAAACACGAGAATGATAAAAATGTTTATTAAGACAAAGACTTTAAATATACATCATTTGATTAAATAACAGCAATTCTAGATTTGTTTATACCATTTTGACAACGCTCCGCTTCTTTCGATCCAGTTTCAGGTAGGCTACTTGTACTATCGGAATTATAGTTTTTGCTATTGGCACAGTTTACTCGATTTTCTTGATTTTCTATCAAATTACAAACTTTCTTAGCGACGGCAGCTTCCTCGGACAACTTTTTCGGAGCCGACGATGTTGCAGATTTTCTCTTAGAAGGCACTTTATTCTCCGTGGATTTCTCCTTCTTTTTCTTCTCTAAAGTTTTCTCTGCAAAAAATGATCAGATAATTAAAAAACTTTAATACTTTTAATTTTAACTTTGCATCAACATGTAATGCACTTACTTTCTTCGATCTTATCAAAATACTTATCTACGTCGTCGACGTTAATTTTGTTCGACCATTTTAAGGGAGATATTTTTTCAAGAGCTGGTTCAGCTGGTACAGAAATTCCTGCCTCTTTGAGAAGAGTGGATAATAACTGAGTGCGAGACGTCAGCTGTATTACCAGTTTCTTCAAACGTGCTAATTCTTCTTCTGGAAAAATCAAAACAATACATAGCTACTGGATAGATTTAAAAACTGAAATTTTCTTTTCCTAATATATATACTGGGTGGATCTTAAAATACATACTGTGTGCCTCGGAAGCGTGAGTGGAGAATAACTCATCGGTACGACTATGGAGGTCTTTTATGTACTTTGAGGCATGGATCAGGATGTCGACCTTGTTGCGTTTGCGACCTTCCTGATGCGGTGGCAGAAGATCCGCCAATGTCTTGAAGTATGCGTTCATACGTTTTCTTCGATCTCGCTCCCATGTTTTTGCTTTGCTGCAACGAGATTTGCAGGTAGAGAAAAAATAGAAAGGCATAGATGATATAAGGTACTTTCCACTTTGATGACACAAGTCGACATAAATCGACACAAGCGTTGTTCTATCCTTGTTGACATTCGGAGAGTAACAAAGATTGAATGACACTTGTGTATGAAATGAAAAGCACCCATAGTGATTACATTTCGTTATTCACTGCAAGTATTAAAAGCTTATAGTTCACATTATGTATCCTATATATTTTCAGTACTTGCAATGAATAACGGAACGCAGTCAGTGTAATACAGTGAATCATTACATCCTCGTTGTTTGCCAATGTTAAACAAAAAATGAAACGATCGCTTTGTTAGTGTGCCGCTTACTGGAAAATATCATAGAACAGTTGAGCTAGAATGTTTCCTCGCGTAATCATCACCACGTTTTTAAAATGAGAGAAGAAACTTTAGAGAAACTTAAATTGAATAGACGTGAATAACAAGGTAACTGTGTGACAGGTTACAGAATCGAAAAATTTTTAAGACTCACGTGTTCTCCTTTCGTGGCATAATTTATCCGCTTGACATCGTTCTGTAAAGATAGCGTGTCGCGAGAAGCGCCAGTGCGTCACTTGTCACCGACATTACGCGATCGCGAGAATTGCCTTCGTAATTCTGACATTTTCGTTCCACTAAGCGAAATACAAAACACAGTGCTACAGCTGTGTGTCGTGCAGCGGGAGATGGAATGAGCGGAGAATGCAAGCTTCCGATTTGGGTTCGTCGCGCTATTTCGCAACAGGAATCTGGTTTATCGGCGGAAGCTCAGATTCCATAAAATATTTCAGGAATATATTTTCAAAATATTATATTACAAGATTTTATTGTATTATAAATATTTCAGAAATTTTTCATAAAATATATCTGAGATGTAAATATGCAAAAAATTTTTTTTACAATATTTTTGTACAATATTTCTAAAATTTTTTTAAATATTTGAAATATTTACGCAATATTTTAAAATGTTTACGAAATATTTCTGAAATATTTTATTGAAGTGGATTTTGTTATAAAGTTACTATGGATGAAAAATGGATCTAGATGGCGCGTAAAATCTCCGAAAACATCGATGCGACTGTTTATTATTTTGTTTTCTCTAGCTGAACTGAGTAAGCTGAACTTACTGCACTTTTCATCTTTCCTTCTTTTCTCTCTAACTACACACCTGCAACTTTTTTTTTCTCTCACCCTCTCTTTCTTTTTCTTTCTCCGTGACGACATTGCAACTCGAGATTGAGCATTTTCACATGTACGCTCTCTACACTTTTTTTTCACATCATTCTTTTCGCTTACTATTCAAAATGTGAATGATTACTATATCTCGTTTTATATAAATAAGAGAGAGAGAGAGAGAGAGAGAGAGAGAGAGAGAGAGAGAGAGAGAGAAAACGTAATAAGGCAAGTTGAAAACAGACTTCTTTTCATCTTGGACCTTCAGATCAACGAGTTAAGTCGAAGATCTGGAGATCTCACATCTCACGCTTCGACCTTCGATAACTGATGAGATCAGTGATGCTGATATCTCTTCTCGAGACAAGACAAGACGCTGGGAGAGATCGAAGCACCTTTCACGAGAATTTCTCACGGTCGCGTGTTCGATCGTGCGTAAATTTTTTGTTGAAATCATCATGAATAGAACGCGCAGGCGTTATAAAGCTTTCAGTAGGACAAGGGCAAGGACGTGGAATTGGAAACGAGAGACTGTCAAGAGCGATATCGACTTGTTTTCTTAAACAACAGCAATTCAAAACATTCCGGCTCATCGTTCCTTCAATAATGTACAATGAACGTTTATATTGAGAAATTTCACACGAGAAAATTTTGGAGACTTTTTTTGTCTCTTTATTTATTTTAGTTAATTCTCCTCGAATTTAATTCCCAACAATGGAATCGAAAAACCGTTGAAAAACCGTTAAATTCCTACTTTATGAAATTATATAGAGACAATCAAATCCGCTATTCAGTAAATACCAACTAGGTATAACAGTATGTAATATTATATCAATATATTATAATTTCCTACCCATAACAATGTATGTAACTGTTGTGTACATACATCTTGCATCTGTTCTACTTGTACACTTATAATATTGAGTAAATATTTATATATTTAATGTAACTTGCAAATATTTTCAAACACAATTAAATCGCCGATGGAGGAGAATGAATATAAAAATAAATATAATAATAATTTATTTTTAAAACTTAATATAATTATTCATATTTTGACGAGATAGCGTAATTAATTGATCTCGAAAACAGGACTGTCCTGTTTAATTACTGGATTATTGATATTGGTACTCTTTTTGCAGCAGCGATACCCAAAAATCTACTTTTAATCGCGCTCTATACGCTTCTTCATTCGAAGAAACATATTTTTTTCCTTCGTTTTCTCTAGCAAACAAGAATGGATGGAAAAATGAATTGAAATGGATTCAAATCAGATTTTCAGAAATATTGATTCAAATGTTAAAATGTCGAATGTTAAAATGAATGCTTTTCAATCTTGAATGCATTTTTATTCATTTATAGGAATTGCATGGAGCATATCTCTATGCCTTTCAATCTAAAAATAATATTAGCTTTTTCTGTGTACAATTGTGAATATTGTTCAATTCAAAAAAAATTTTGAATAGGAAATGCAGTTTTTCAATCCAATTGAATCCAAAAAAAGTATTCGCTATTTAAAATACGCATTCGAATAGAAAAAAATTTCAATCCATTTTAATTCATTCTCGTTTGCTGGGTTCTTTTACAGTCGCGATCGTGTCTCAATTTAAACGCAGAAAGTGCAGATAAGAGAGATAAAGAAAGAGAAACGGGAATCTCGCGCCTCCTTGTGCGGAAACGATTTCCCAGCTTCCCGAATGGGAAAGGGAGGATGCGGGGGCAGCGGACACACATAATCGGTGCACGCACGCGTGGTGGGAGTGAAACCGTTCGCGGGATCAACGACGGCGGCGGTGGTGGCGAAGGGTTGGCTCGTTCGGGGAAAACAGGTTCGCGTCGTTCGCGACCGTCGTAAACGTTCTCGTGTTTCTCGCGCGCGGAGAATCTCGCGAAAGGGAAAACGATTTATCCGGGATCCGTTCTCGTCCCTTGTGATTAGCCATCGCGCGTTCTACGCTTCGAGAGGAGGTCGGAGTTGAAGGCGGTCAGTTGAAGAATGTCAAGCGCGAGAGTGCGCGAGTGCGAGTAGTAAAAGCTGGTAGAAGCCGTAAACGCTGAGAGTTCCGGAGGGGCAATCAATTTTCCACGTAGTGCATTTATATACGGGGTGTGTGTGTGTGTGTGTGTGTGTGATATATATATATATATACATATATATATATATATATGTATGTGTAGCGCGTGTACCGTACGCGTACCGCACGTCGCTGAACCTCGCGTCATCGTGTCGTGGTGTTGGTCGCCAGTTGAGATCGCGGTCGACTTCAGATAGTCGAGGAGCTCTCGCGGAGCTGCTGGAGCATCCGAGCGTGGTTCGTTCGAGGCGCGCGGTTTATTGATAATAAAGATAACTGGCAGCTGCTGAAATCATCTCCGTGTCGAAAGCGCCGAAAGGAGCCGAAAGAGGCGACGTAAACGGGACAGTTAGCGGAGAGAGGGTATCATCGAGTGTGCGTATGCTGCAAAATCTGGAAAGGACTTGGCGAATGGGGGCACGGGTACGTTGCTAAAAGAGAATGAACGAAGGAGAGAGAGAGAGAGAGAAAAAAATCCGTGAGACTTGCGTCAGCGCGATTCGACACGGATTGTTGCGCGAATCACCTCGATACACCTCGATACACAATACAAATCGACACGATTCCGCTGAATTCGCAAATACCAGCGTTATGTGAGAACGAGCCTTATGTTTACGATTTACAATGCGTCAACGCGACGAGTGACGTAGAATCTCTATCGAGGGATTTTTTTTTTCCTCTCCCTCTTAACCGCGCCTGTGTTTTCCGTTTAAAAGCCCCAGAGATTCGCGATCTTCCGTTTACGCACGTACGTGCATATCGATTTACGCGCGAGTGTCGTCTCGCGTTCGCGCGAGTCGCACGCGCTTTCTTTCTCTCCTTCCCCCTTCCCTTCCCCTCTCTTCCCCCCTCCGCCCTTCCCTCCCCCGTATTCCCCTCCTCCACGAGCGTCCTCGTGAAATTACGCGATCGCGATGATTCCTGCTCGTCGAACGTCGTGACGGATGGCGACGCGGAAACACGTCACATCTCGTCGTCCTTCGTCACGGAAATAATCCTCTATACTTGCGCGCAATTGTGTACCACCAGCAGGTTGACGTATGAATGGTGTCGGGGTCACTGCAGGGACGCACGCCACGTACGTGAATCCGCTTGACAAGATGTCAACGACCACCGATGTCAGCGACTTGGCGGTGGATCTCCCCAAGGAGGGGACGCCAATCTTCCTGCAGACTCGTGCAGCCTGGGCCATCGCCGGAGTGTTTATGGCTGTTGCGCTTTTCTTCACTTGCCAACAGGTAATGGAACTGTCAATAGAATACAAAGCCTAATCTATATCCTTTTTTGCTTCCTGTTTCTTGTTTTTTTTCTCTACCTCTTGCCGTTTTCCTTCTTTACAATTTTATCAACAATCACGTTTCTTGTCTCTTTCGAAGTTCATCAACTCTTATCTCGGGTGACAGAAGATGAAGAAACAGAATTAAGACCTGGTTCCATGTAAGATTAACTGTAATCTCGATTCTCAATTTATTTTTCATCTTCTAATTCTTAGAATTTTTTATTACTTTCTAAGAATTAGAAAAGAGATAGGCAAATAAAATTTAAACCGAGATTAAAGTTAATCTTATATTGGTGGAATCTTATATTGGTATAACTGAAGGCTTATACCTGTTGCTACAAACATAAATTAATGTTAATCTTAGTTTAACTTATTCTTTATCTTTTTCTAATTTTTAGAGCTAGAAAGAGGTACAAAGGCAATAGATAAAAAATGAAAAGAAGCAAGAAACAGAAAGCAAAGAACGCATTGTAGATTAGGCTTAAGACGCTTGATTTGTAATGCAGTCACCTTTCTCTTTTCTCATTATTTGTAGATCTATCAGCATCTGAGGTGGTACACGAATCCCACGGAGCAGAGATGGATAGTGCGAATTTTGTTTATCGTGCCCATTTACGCCATCTACTCCTGGATCTCACTGTTGTTTTTCAATAGCGAGAGCTACTATGTTTACTTCTTCACGGTGCGAGACTGTTACGAGGCATTTGTTATATATAATTTCCTGTCACTATGCTACGAGTACCTAGGTGGTGAGGGCAACATCATGTCCGAAATCAGGGGCAAGCCGATACGCTCCAGTTGCCTGTATGGCACCTGTTGCCTGGTTGGAAAAACTTACACCATCGGATTTCTAAGATTCTGCAAGCAAGCCACTTTACAGTTCTGCTTAGTTAAACCAGTGATGGCGTTTGTCATTATATTCCTGCAAGCCTTCGGCCATTACAGAGACGGAGATTGGTCACCCGACGGTGGCTACATTTACATCACGATAATTTACAACATCAGTGTCTCGCTTGCACTTTATGGGCTGTTTTTATTCTACTTTGCTACGAGAGACCTGCTGACGCCGTTTGAGCCTGTGCTCAAATTTTGTACAGTCAAGAGCGTCATCTTTTTGTCATTCTGGCAAGGTAACATCTGAAATTAAGCATTTGTAAGTGCGTGGAGTTAAATAACTGATAACAATTGCAACAAATACTTTTTTTATGCAGGAGTACTGCTAGCCATCTTGGAGAAAGCAAATGTCATTTCACCCGTTATAAACAGTCTGGGTCAATCAACGAGTGCTGGCACAGTCTCCGCCGGTTATCAAAATTTCCTCATTTGTATCGAGATGTTATTCGCTGCTATAGCTTTACGTTACGCGTTCCCGTATCAAGTATACGCAGCTGGATGTGTTACTGACTCCAGAGGTAGAAGTGTGACGATGCAAAGTATCAGTAGTAGTTTGAAAGTACGTTTACAATATTCCTGAATCTTTTACAGAAATGTATTCTTTTTTTTTGTTTTGTTGATTTAAAAAATACTCTATTCGGTAATAATATTTTGTAGGAAACGATGAATCCAAAAGACATTATGACCGATGCCATCCATAATTTCCATCCACAATATCAGCAATATACTCAATATAGTGCAGGTATGTGTTATTTTTTGTGCTATATTTTTTTTGTGCTGATTTCTTTTAAGAATTGCTATATAATTATTTACTACTATATGTATTTTTATTTATTTTTATTATCTTATGAATCTGATATGCTTACGAATCTTCATACAGCATGATAGTGTGATATAAAATTTATGTCGTTTATTTAAGTTTTTGTATGTATTGTCTCACATACAGTTATTTTTTTTTCTCATGCATTCATAAGAAAATGTCATGTTAAAATAAGGCGGTGATACTGAATGTTCTAATTATAGAGCAAAATTATCTGACATGTAATGCCAATAATGCCAATAATAGTTACACAAGATACACGTTTTATTCAAGATTGCAAACGCTTCAGTTACAGGCTTTGGCGCTTTTGTATATAATTTACTTGTACTCTTTCTGACACTTCACTGCTGATCAATGCAGGCACCGATATTATTACATTAATATCCACTCACATATGTGTGTATGTATATAGAGCACAGTTCACGCAAGTTTCAAGCAAATGCGAAATTCACGGATAGTATAGAATCTGCTTTCAAAGATAGTCCTCTAATAATATTTATTATATTTTACTTGTATAAAAAATTAATTATATAAAATTTCTTTAATGTGTGCCGGTTTATTAGACAATTCAGACAATTACTTTGAAGGCACTTTTGTTTGATATTTTTCAGACGTTAGTACCAACTTGCCGTACGAAAAGATATGACAGTGAGGCATCACTTTTTTAATTTCAAGAAATTGGACATCGAACTTTATGCGCGACTTTAAATGAAGATCGAAAAGAAAGATACTTTATACAGCACTATACTTTGCTTACGGAATTATACAATGCCTTAGAGATCGGTATCTGTCCACAAAGGGTCAATTTCTCGAAAATGATTTCTACGTTGAAATTACAGAATAAGGGTTGTACTTAATATACCATCGATATACGTATTATATGCATATAAGATCATCTATTTTGCGATTAACAAACTCTGCTGTAAAATAGAAGTTAAGCACTTAACATAAGAGGAGCATTTAGAAAAGAGAAAGAAAGAAAAACGGGGAGAGGGAGAGAATAGCGTACTTCTATAGTGTTGCTCTATAATGAATGTAAAAGATGATTAGGAGTACAGTTTACTTAACACTACAAACGCTTTGAAGCATCTGATTGATCAGTCACGAAGAAAAATTTTACTAATTGACCAATCAGAAAAATTTTTCAAAGCTTTTGTAGCATCAAGTGGACCGGATCCTAAGCATTAGTGTAATGTTTTTTTTGTTTTTTTTAATAACATATAACTCAACTTAATTTTATTGCTTTTATTTTTATATTCCTCTCACATGGTACCATATAGCATGCGAATATACGGTATGAAACGGCCGAGCATGTAAAGCACATCATTATATCCTTTTTCCCAAAGGTATAGCATACATTGACAATGGTAAAATTATCACAATCCTAGCTGCTTGCGATTATTTTCTTATATTAATAATAATTTGCATGAATCGTTTGTATTGCGAATTATCGCATTAATATATTTTTTTTTGCACCTTTGTATCATGTGTATACATAAGAATTCGAACTTTGTTGCTCTGATCAAATCTTTTGTGTAGCTCGATATGCGTTATCAATAGTTTTCGTGCAGAGTTCGAAATTACCAAAATTACACCGAGTTTAAATACCGGGGTGGGAGGGGAGGGGAGGCAAATTTCGATAGGAATTTAATAGGCCTTTTAAATAAACGATTCTCTCTGTATAATATAAGAAATTGAATTTGCCAGAATTATATCGGTTTCGAGTTTTGATTTTATGACGCAGTTCCAGAGCAAGAATGTTCGAGATGTAAATGTGACATTTTGGAGAAGGTTGATACAACATTGGTGTATTCGGTCATATAATTTCACGATTGTGAAATTAATATAAAAGCGTTGAATTAATATTTAAAGAAAATTAATAAAGGAACCGATTGGTCAATTTTGGTGCATTTATTGGCCAACGGACACGTGTATCTGGTGTGTTTGCTCACTATAATGTGTAACAATGATGTAACAATTAGGGGGCCCAAAAGGACAACGTGGTATGCGAGTATCCAGCTTCGATCCGGATGATCCGCAAAACATGCCGGTACCACCACCTCAAAGGCGAAACACCTCTCACCAACGTGTCGCAACGATTTCGCAAAATTATAATGAGAAAACAATGTTACTGAGCAGCGACGATGAATTTCAATAAGGCACACGGACGTGCGGTTCGGGGAAATGAGATTTACGCTCGAGAATCGTATCGACAAATATTACAACGCGAAACTTCCATGAATTTCTAGAAATCTGCTTTCGAAGGGTGGATGGAATGCAAGAGAAAAACGATATGTTTTAAGGAATTCGCATGAAGCGAATTCGTTCTTGCAGATCTTAAAAGAAAGGGAAAAAAGGACATTGCGCAGAGCATAAGAGCGCATTGCGTTTCACTGTAATAGTTCCATAATGTTACATCCATGTTAATATATGTATTACGTTATAACATACGAGTATAAAGAAATAGTATAGAAGATATTTATTTTACTATGCTGACATGTTTGAGGCAGTGTTATTCGTACACGTGGCTCTACTACGACACTGCAAGAAGTATTAAATGCACGATAATGCTTGCTCTTCGTAATAGATAAGAAAAAAGTAATTGTATAGTACTTAATTTCACGCGCGATATCGCACTTTCTCAGAGTACTGTTCGTATGTAAGCATCGACACTTGTTTACACTTTTGTATCTGTTTTTATTTACACGTTTGCATTTAGCGAACTTTGACTTTTACAATTTCGCATTCGTGCTTATTTGGGAAGCCTCGCGAGCCACAGGAATATTTGCGTCCTTCTACAAAAATCATTCTTTCTTTGGTTTCTTGCAAAATATACGTGTATATATCACCGAGGTAGATCTGAAAATGCGGAGAAGTTGAAGCGAGTTTTCCTTCTCGACGAAAGCCTTTCGATATAAAAGAAAAAACAAAAAGATACATAACAATATTATATGCGCGAGGAAAGGACGATCGATGAGCATCGTGTCAGATATAAACATTTGGTATTCGGTGTCTTATGTGTACAACTGTGTATAATCCTCATATTTTTTTTAAAAGCATAAGAGACGAGCCAAGTTAACAAAGATCTATTTTATATGACAGCACAGTGTGCCGAAATCTTTCGTCACCATTTAAGAACGAAGTGAAACGTGTAAATCTGTAAACAAATTTTATTGTCCTATTACATCTCGTAATAAAGATAAGACACAACTACATGAATAGAACATTATTTATTTACAATTAAAACATCTGTTAATAATACCTCATATATAGAAAATATACATATATATATATTATATATATATATAGAATAATTTATATGTATATATAAGAAATTTTAATTACACAATCTGTCGATGCTTTTTTTTCTTAAAAATATGTTAATCAACTCGAATACCGTATTATTACTGTTAGAAGAATAATTTAGAATGTTATTAACAGCCTTTACTTTTTGGCAAAAAAATAAAGATATAATATTGTACACGTTTGGATAAAACGGTTCATTTTTCTGATCGCAATAGCGAAAAGCACCCTTATTTGAATTTCCATCAATATCCTACATATCTATCATCGACTACCAGCCAATCCAATATGATTGATTATTCGTCACAATTTTCTTCCAGCCATGCCAAGGGGATTCCAAGTTTTCGCGCGAGGTTAATGTTTCCGGAAGTATGTTACCAGTTTTCAATTGTATTCCTCTTAATGTTGACTTTAACGACGTGTTTGCAATTAATTGTTTCTCATCGTCTTCTTCCTCTTCTTCGATATCTTGATACTGTAATTCGTCATCCATATAAACGACCGCATTGGTATCCTCGTTATTCGCGTACTTGTGATACTCCTCAGCAACGTCGCGCTTCGTCACTTTGCTCGTAGTTACAAACGCATTCTGTATGATTTCCAAGTCGTGGACAGCTAGCGGAGATTGCGGATTAATTATGGGTTTGAAGCCGATCGATCTGAGCCGCGCGATCCGTAAATCGCTGTCGAATGTATTTACTGGCACAAAAGCCGATGTTCTATCCTGTAAGGAATCCGCATATTCTTCGTCGCTTTTGCGATTCGTGTTATCCTCTGTGAACGTAGAAGCAGCGCAAATTCGCAACGTCTGAACCTGGGATCCTTGATCACACACGTCCAACACGGATTCCTTCAGTTTCTCCAATTTATCCCACTTCATCTTCAAGATAGCTCTTTGATCGTTTAACTGTCCAATAACATAAACTTCCGGATTATCAGAGATAAGTCTACACTGCGTCGTCGCATCCATCGTGCTGGGTTTCTCCTGTTTTTTGCGAAAGCAATGTAAACGCGGTTGAGCAGTACGATGTGATAAAGGAATTGTCCGTGTCAGCTTGTTTCGAAGGCTCCTGTCAAAGGAAGTTCTGGTGATAGCGTGATCAGCTGTTACGGTTTCATCCTCTTTCTTCTTGTTGCTGACATTGTTATTATTATGATTATTGTGATTTTCATTATTATCGTTACTAAGATTATTTCTAAGAGTTTTTTGCTTCTCAATTGAACTGTTAATATTCTTGCTATTTGCGTGCACGGTATTGGTCAACCTATACTTATTTTTTGTTTGTCTCTCTCCGACACGATTGACTTTAGTCAGTTTGCTCTTCCGTTTAAAACTAGACTTGTATCGCTTGTTGGACGAATATATTACGGTATTGAAGGTATTGCAATAGTTTAAGTATGCATTGTTTTTGCATCGTAATCTCCTGTTCCTGGGTCCACGCGTCATGGGACCGAAATTAGCGTCTATCGACAAGTTGGCAATTTCCCTATCTCGTTTCTTGTACTTGGTTTTCTTGATCGACGAGTCAGGAAACTTCGGCTTTACCAATACTGCTTTCTTGTCAGTCCTTAGACGGGTTTTTATGTCGTATGAACTGCGAGTGTGTTGCGCGATAGTCTGAAGCGAACTCTTTACACGAAACGGCGATAAGTACTCATTGTTCTTCTTGGATATACAATTACGATCGCTCCTCCTAATGTTATTATTACATTTCTGATCCGCGTCGTTGCAGGATTGACGATCCATACTAGGTAGCAAGTTGTCGAATTTTTCTCCATCTGCTTGCTTGGTTACTTTCCAAAATAATCTTTCGGATTTGGAATATTTACAATATCTTCTGTTGTCCAAACACGCAACATTTTCCTTTATATTGTCTGTTTCTTTGCGCTTCTTCCTAAGATTTATGTTCGTCGGCACGTACTTCTTGCTCTTGGTCTCCGGAGTCGTTTCTCTTTTCGACGCGTTCCACATCGCGCATTCTTCGGTCGTCAGCCCTATCACATTTCCGATTAGTAACTTGGACATAGGATGATGTATCTCTTTATTAATCAAGTTTAAGATTTTATCCGGCGTCAAGGAGTCCAAGGATTTGATGTTTTGCGCGCAGAAAGATTCACTCGGTATCTCCGAAGCGTCGTGGCATTCGGAGATTCTTTCGTACGTCGCAACCGAATTCCTCGGTGATTCATTCCTGGAATTCGATTTCTGTGTCGGTTCATTATCGGTATTCAAATTTTGTACATCCCGGCGTTGAGCATTTTGAAATTGTTCCTTATGCTCAATTGTAGTATTTGCACTATTCTTGGAACTATCTAACGACGAAGATATGCAATAAGAATGTTCTGACGAGTTTACGACTATCGACGACAAATTTTCTCTACATTTGTTCAACAGAGAAGTATTTGTGTTATCGGCTACGACATATCCGTTATAGGATACGTTTTCACTCGATCGAGAATTCACTCGCGCCTTGTCCACACTTGGCTTCTCGATAGGCTTGGCATCCTCCTTGGGTGTCAAGTGATTACCTTCCATATCCAATGCCGTACGAATAGTGATGTCGATCGGCTTGGAGGAGGTGTCTGCGAATTATGCGACGACTCGTACAGACCCATGCGTATCGAGATGTTTGTACTATGGGTTTTAATAGCCGACGAACCAAGGCACAACAACATCTTTTGATCAGGTACAGAAGTTGATATCGCGCTTTCTGTGTTACTCGGTAGTTTCTTAAAAACATGACGCGTGACAATGGAACTCTCGGGCGCGGACCGTCTGCTGGTGTCAACCAACGGTAGCGTTTTAGCGACTGGGAGACTTTCGCGACTATCTCCATAACTAAGTTTTCGCTTTCGGCAGGTAACACCGATATTATTCGAGCATTTTCTCAAGTCATATGTGTTTAGATGGTTCGACTTTGACAATGGGATACAATGTCGCACGGAAGACAGTTCTTCCGAGCCTTTGCTGCTCCAGCTGGGCGACTCCTGATTCGCGAGACGCATCAATGCAAACTTGTTGTACTTGGTTCCATCCAAAGCCATGCCAATCCAACAGCTTATGACTACGTAGAGTCCATCGTACCTGTACCCAGTGTTAGGCGCGATGTTATCTTGTAGATTGTAACTTCTTATTAATCTCAATGGTATTTGATTTTTATAGTTGCGAATGAATGGATCCACACTGGGTTGTTCCTTGTGATACACCTGGCCGGTGAGCGTTAAATAATCACCAAGATCCACGTCCTCATTCACGTTGGTATGCGACGTACATACAGAGATAACACCAAATGGTCCCTCATGTATATCAACATTGAAAGGCTCGTGCATCTTATCCCTGGAACAGTCCATGCGTATGCCCCACCAGGATCCAGGTGGAAATCCCAGAACTGGGCCGTACCAGCATCTCGAAACCTTAAGAAATACACGAATTGTATCGTTATACACACCTCATCATTTATGATGTAAAAATAAGTAGGAAAAATGATACTTACATTTTTATTGTACGATGGGCTCGATTTGTCTACAGATTTCAATGAGCTCGCTTCCACAGCTTGGTTGAGCTTGCTAAATAGTTTGTTCAGGTCGTGCCTGATTCGACCTTTTCCCTGAAAAAAAGGAAAATAGGAAAATATGGAAGCATCAATATGAAAAATGACAGTTTCTTATTTCAGCTTTGTGACGATATTAATAAATGCAATGAGTGGCGAGTGGAATAATGTAAATAAGACAGAAACGAGCGGAGTTGCAGACGCAGGTCCTCGACGGAGAGAACGGTACAGACGGGGGGGGGGGGGGGAGGGGGGCCGTGAGGCGCAATACCTGATTCTTAATTCGCGCCTCACGCAGCCTCCTCTCGTTCTCCTGAATCGTGTTCGCGCACACGGTCCTCGAGACGTCACTACCCGACTTCGCCATTTCCACGAACGACGGGGATAACGCAGGTCGCCGAGCACGCTATATCCGCGATCGAGACGGTACGCTCTCCATTCGGACCGCAATCCGTCACCGACACCACGAATGCAAATGGCCGCTATCGCGACTCGCGACCGTCCCGTCGATAACCGCTCCGCGATAACTTCACGATGTAAACACGCGGCCGAAATCAGGCTCAACTGCACCATCTGCACTCTGTCATCGACACATCCTTCTCCCGCCCTACGCCCGGAGTATCCGTCTGTTCTGCTTCAAAGTGTGAAAAACTCATATCCAGAGCAATCTTATCGTTTGAATATTACGGTAAATCAAGTCGCGCGAGTTCGTCGATTAGATCCGCGCGAGTCGCGTTGTGTTGCTTCTGTCGAATCCGAAATACGGGATTGCGATCGAGTTTTCGGAAACTACGTAGATTCGTTTGTTTAACAATAAGGTTCTCACGATATACATTGATTTAAAGAGGGATAGATTTAAAGCGTAGCGATGGACTCTAAAGAGGAAAAAAAAGAAATGAAGGCGTAGAGAGGGAGAGAGACAGAGCGTGCGATTAAAACGGGTAGACGAATAAATAAATCGACGAGGCTAGATGATAGCGAGCGTTAATGCATCGTAATTTAACGGATTCTATCAACGCTCGGGTCAATCAGCCTACGATTGGCTAATGCAGTTACGAGGCGAGAGAATGGTAGTTAATTTTGGAGTAGAAAATGTGCCTCGCGATCTCGAGATCGATTCGAATTCCCCTCGAGAAGGATCTCGTCGGAGCGCGAGTATAAAATGAAATGGTGGTATCGATAAAAACAGATAGAAACGAGGCTTTCGGGGCGAACGGCGACGGCGAGTGGCGAGTACGAGTACGGCGACGGGTCTGGGATGGCGACTCGGCGAGCGGAAATGAGGGGATGCGTTGTAAACGGCGGCCAAAGGAAGGCAGGCGGCCTCGGTGCGTGAGTACGCCGCAAGATGGCGTTTAACATGCGACGCTGCTTTTGACGTTCGCATATGAGTTTTTTTTGGTTCCCTCCACTTTGAAAAGGCCAGGAAGTGATTTTTCCTGGCGCGCCGTTTAGTCCACGGACGGCCGATCGAGGATGTGCCGTAAGGTGTTAGCCGCGACGCGAGCCGTTCGATTAATCGGTATTTCGATTTCGAGTACGTAGTACTTGGCCCCATAGCGAGGCGCGCACGAGGTCCCGCGATTGGCCAGTTTACGAAAACGACGATGGCTCCGTGAGGAGAGGAGAACATGGCTGCGACGCAAGCCGAGAGCCAACAAAACGATGTGAAGCTGAACGAGTCCGTGAAATGCGCACAGAAGCGTACGCAAGTCGGTGGGAATAGTGCGAGTGCTAGTGCGAAGCAGCAGCTGGATTCCGAGCCGGACGATAAAGTGTCCCGGGGCGCGGCCCAGCTGCTTAAATATGTGAGTCGCGGCGGGGACACGACGGGCTACGAGATGAGTCAATACCGCGAGGACATTGGCGGACACACTGCCGCCGGTGAGGTAAAATCGCCGCGTGAGGCCGGCCAGACGTCCCAGGAGCCCGTCGGCAAGCAAGAGGCGCACGACGCACCCGGCCATCCCGGCCACCCGGGCCATCCGTTCGCGCCAAACGTGATACGCGACTACTCGGACGAGTACAGCAACAACAAATCCGGCGACCAATTCGCCCCGACCAAGTCCTCCCTCGCTGTCGATTATCCCCCCGGCAAGCAGCTCCCGGAGTACGTTGCCAAGCACGCGGACTTTCCCGGCAAGCAACTCGACTATCATGGTAAACACTTGATGCACGAGTCCGACCGGACCCATCGGGCCGAGATGGAGGAGCACTACTCTCCTTCCAAGATCGAGACGCGATTGTACGTCAGTGCCACCTCTGGCAACTTCTCTGGTTCTCAGCCGAGGTTTCTCTCTGGACAGGGTATGTCCCAGACCGCTGGTCCTACCCCTACCTTGAATCAATTGCTACAGGCGTCTACTCCGGTCCATCGGTTTCATGGAAATTATCCCGGTATGGGACCTGAGTATCAGCAGCCATGGTCTATGCAAAGGCCACCGGTTGTGCCTCCAGTTTATCCGCAACCCAGTCAGCGTCCTCCGCAGACGGTAAACAAACACATCTATACTTTTTTATTACTCACCCCCCTCCCTCCCTCCTTCTAGTATATTTTACTTAGGTTAAGCCCAGCAACTAAACCTAGCGTTACGATACATGTACTTTTTCTTGTTACGAGTCCTATAGTTTTTGTATCATCTGCACATTTTAGATCTAGCTAAAAGATTATATTTGTATATATATACGATCTAATTGTTATACGTTTCTTAATCTATCAGGGTTCACCGAGATTACATACAGGGCCAGGAGCACAGAGTTCTCCAACACCCATGCAATATCAACAATATACCCAACGATATTCCTCACCTACGAGACCTCACGCACCTTACAGTCATCATCAGGTAAACTAATGCCTTGCCTTCAATCCGTAACTTTAATTTAATTCTTATTAATATCGAGAAGATGTAGCCAATCGAACCAATGTTTCTACACGATATTTTCTTTAATCTTTTTAGCTAAACTCTTATACGACGCAAACCAGTCATCCCTCAAGCTTATATACGGAACAAAGAGGATGGAATCAAGGCGGACCACCAAATCCACCTCCACCACCAAGTAATCAGGTCACTCCATCAGGTCAGTCACCACAGCGTGCTTTGTCTCAGTCTCCAGCTCCACCACCTGCTGCGTCACCGCAGCCACAAGCTACCAGTCAGACCCAGGTGAACATTATTACAAAAATTACTAATAGTTAATAGTCTCTAATGTATCACTGGAATGTATTAGAATTTCAGTTATCTTTACTTCTCTACAATTATTTTTCTAACGGAAGTACATTGATAGTTTATTTATACATAGAACGTATAATTTACGTGTAAGAAAGGAAGTTTACGAAAATGGAGTATATTTTTTTTATAGAAGTAAAAAGCATGACATAAATTTTGACATTGACTCATTTTTGTAAATAAACTTGATGTGATAATCATGTTATTGACGCAAAATAATAGATTTTAAAAATTGACAACATTAATCAGGGATATTTGTAATGCGATGTGTAAAATATAATATATACAAATTCTTTGTGAAAGGATACATAAATGAATTGTTAAGATAGTATATATACAGTGCAGATTCCTTATTTACACATTTTATTTTACAAATTTATAACACGTTGATTGTAAATAACTTATTGGAGATATTTAAATGTTCTAGGAAGATATGTATACATAACAGAATCTATCAATATTTCCATGAATATATTAAAAATTAAGACATGTCAGAATATATAGTTTAGAAATGTATGCATTTACAGTGTATTTCTATAATGTAAAAACAGTTTATTCATAGTATTGTGTCTCTTTTCAGGCTTTCCACAATATACAACAGCGAGCTACAACACCAAATACTCAAGGAATTGACTCTGGGGTGAGATTTCATATACACAATTAAGATTAATTTTATTTTATCCTTAGAAATTAAGTACATCGACGTCGCGTTCGCTGCGCCTCCTTCTCAGGATTCAGACAGATGTATGTGTGTGTGTGTGTGTGTGTGTGTGTGTGTGTGTGTGTGTGTGTGTGTGTGTGTGTGTGCGCGTGTGAAAAGAAAAGCTTAAAGTATCCGCAACGTAGCAAACAAGTTTTTGCCGGTGATTGCATAATCCCCGCCGTGACAGGAATGATTGTCGTAGAGATTTCATGTACGATTTGAATTAATTCTATTCTCCTATCTATTCGCCTAGCAGAAGCTACGCGGCTCAGTGTATCGATACCGGTGAAATTCTTATCGAAATTTAATACTGCATGTGTGTATGTGTGCGTGAAAGTATATAGAATATCCCACGGGGATGCCAATCATCTCTGGCGAAATCGCGACGCGCAAGTTTGGGAATAGATCGAAAGGCGAATTTTCCGTCTCGCAAAGTACTACTTGCAAGGTCTCTATCTACGACTTCGGTCTTGGTACTCGTTCAAGTACTTTCCCGACGAAAAGAGCGAGCGAGAGTGAGCGAAAGGGTGGCCCCTCGCGTGGTGTGCGAGGGGATCAGGAGGCCAAGGAAGTGGTAGCAGAGAAGGAGAAGAAGCAGGAGGAGGAGGATGAGCAAGGAGAGGGAGAGCG